ACAACAGTAGAGACCTGTCCATGGAGAGTCCAGGAGTCTCTGGGTGTGCTCACTGCTCTGCACATATGACATTATGGTTGTAGAGCACTGAGAGAATCAAGAATGATTGTAATGGAAGCCACAGTTACTTCAAGGCAGCTCACTGTGCCACTCAGGTGTGGAAAAGAGCAAGTGATGGTCCTTCCTGCTGTCCTCACCATGTACAAAACACAGAGTGGACATTGAATCAGCGACTGACACCCAAGGCCTAAACGTGTTTGCCTCCCACTGTGCTATGATATGGTCATGAGATGAAGAGATCCTTTAGCCAAATAAAACCATCCACACCTGCCGAAGAAAAGCAGCGTGCTCTCAGTTGCCAACAGAAATCCATAACCCATGCTGCCAGTACTTATGGGACAACTTAGCCATGTGCAGGCCTCATTTGCCACCCATCCTGTCAGTGCTGACCAAGGCCCACCCTCTCCCATCTCCACCAGCAGGTCCAACAATCTCTTTGCAGAGATGCCAGTGGCCAGGGAAGTTGAATTCTGACAACTGAATTCCAGCCAATTGAGACTATTCCTCATGCTGAGAATGAGAAATTCAATAATACAGGGACTGGATTCCTGTTGAGTTGCAAAAATAGACTGAATGCAGAGGGTTCTGCAGCTCTCTAGGCTGAACATCAGGAGCCCCAACTGTTCCCAGCCATTGCCTTCCATCCGATGCCCTCTTGTTTCTTTGTTCTACTCCCCAGGGGTGTTCAGTGCCCAGTCCCTCCTTTACACTAAGTCACAGAATTAAGCTCTGGGCATTTAAAAGAGAACAGTTCCTCTATATAGAATGATGTCTATTGTTAAGCTTCAACAGGGTCATTAATTGATAGTGTTTACTGTGTTAGGGTAACTCAAAAGGCACAGTTGGCATGGAAATCATGCCAGGCCCCAAATCCAAAAGTCTCATGTGCCCATATGCCAAATAAAGAGACATAGTGAAGGGCAGAGAGAAGAGATTTGTTCCATGGCAGCCATGGGAAGATAGCACCTCAGTACATCTTCACTCATCTTCAGGAGTATATATATTGGCTTCAGGCTGAATAGGAAAGTTGGGGGCCGGGTAAGTTAACACTGTTTCATATCCCACGTGTGGGTCAGCCCAGGTGTGGGCTGGATAACCATTGATCTGGATCTCTGGAGTTGTTCAGGAGGAGTTAACACTTTACCATGGGGGCAGAGCAGGAACATGATACCTGATGGGTGATCTAAGTGTTTGGCTGTTTCCTTTAGGATGGTAAAGAAGAAGACATTGTCTATTTGGGCGGGGGGCAGTTTGCTTTTTACCCAAGGTACTTAACTGCGAATCTTTTCTTTTCTGGAGCCCAAGGTGACTATCACAGAGACTAGCTCAGATCCACCGGCACAGATGCAATGCTGGGGGCATTTAGTTCATTCACAGGGCCCAGAAAAGATATCTTTTAAGTTGCTTCTTATAGGGTGACATAGCTTTTACCTCGATGCCTTTTTGTTTTTTAAGTGGGCGACAAGCTTTGGTATATTTAACAGAATGGAATCCAGCAAGGAAAGCCATGAGGGCAGGGCTTTCCTTCTGTCCTGTTGTATTACAGCAGCACGGGGGTAGGCTCTCTCAGGAGTTAGGCAGCAGGTTAGTCTGCAAGCTGCACCAAGGGTCCTCAGCGGTGGGTTCTTTGAGATGACTATAACAAAAGCCTCCAAGATACTTCGTTTTATTTGCTTTCTATAAGGTATAATTTTGTAACATAGCTCTGGTCTGTGATTTTCTAGAAGAAACTTTTGTCAGTTATGTTTCTTTCTTTTCTTTTTATCTTTTTTTTTTTTTTTTTTGGTGCTGGTCCTGGGGCTTGAACTCAGGGTCTGGGCACTGTCCCTGAGCTTTTGTGCTTTACCCCTTGAGCCACAAATCCATTCCCAGCTTTTTAGTGGTTGACTGGAGATTATAATCTCATGGACTTTCCTGCCCCAGCTGGCTTCAAACTGTGATCCTCAGATCTCACCCTCAACAGTCATTAGGATAATGGGTGTGAGCTGCCTGCACCTGACTGTTAGGTTTCTTTTTAAAAAGTTTCATTTCTCAAAGCTGTTCATCATAGAAAATCAGAAAATGGAATCAACTGGAAGCAAAATATACAGAAAAATAAAATAGCGGCCTTAATGCAACTTGGAGATAAGTACTGCTATGAGTTTGATGTTTTTTTCAGATGTTGTGCATATTAATGTATTTTCTGATAATGAGGTAAGATTGTCCATTTTTTGCTAAGAGAAACCCATCCTATCTTTCAGGTGTCATAATGTTACATTTTAAGAATATACTAGTATTGACATCATTCCCTATGATTGCATAGTGAAGTTTGTCTACATTTTGCTTCAAAGTAAACACCAAAATTGCATTTTCTTATTGTTAGCAGTGATTTGCTGGGTTTTTTTTTAACCTAAGAGTAACTGGTTTCCCAGATCTGTTCCAGATCTCATCCAGGTAACACAGTACCTTAGTGGTCATTTCGCCTTAGAGTAGCTCTGGGCCCTGACAGGTTCTCTCCCAGCCGTCTCTGTTTTTTTTTTTTTTTTTTTTGTTGTTGTTTTTTGTTTTTTGATGAATGTTAGTCTGGCATTTTGTAGAATGCACTTCAGTTGTGACTTACCAGAGAGAGGTTATGTATTTGAGGGAGGATGACCATAGAGGTAAATTTCTATTTTTATCACAAAATGTACATTTCCATACATAATATCAGAATGCATGCTGCCACTAGTACTTACTTGTGTCACTTTGATCTTCTGGATAAGGTCATATGAGTTAGATTTTTTTCACTGCAAAACTACTCTTTGTACTGTGTCTGGACAATACACTTTGGAAGTGCTACAATTACCTGACACTAACTCCTTCTCAATCTTAGGGTGTTTGCATACATAAATTATCTGGTAATCTGCAAATAGAAAAATTGTATTTGAATAGACAGGTGTAACAGAATTATCTATTCTCTCATGTGTTTTTATTTTCTCACTTATGTCAGTATAGGCTTATTGCTTTTCTACTTTGGGTGGTAAAACGATGCTATTATATTTATTTTATTGCTTAAAGCAAGTTGAGATATTTCACTTGGAGATTGCTTATCTGTTGTTATTTGTCTACAAACACTTTTCAATGTTGTGCCCCAAGAATGTGTTCCAAGTGTGCCTGGTCTATCTTGTGCCTTAATCCCAGGAGTCATTTCTTCAAGAATCCCTAGTTTCTTTTATCGAAATGTTAGAAGTCTAGGTCTACAGACTGTGGGCTGCTTGGAGTTTCTAGGTCTGCTGACTTTTCACTGCTCCTAGAACCAACCTTTCAGCTGATAGAACGAGAGAAAAAGAGGTATATGCTTACACACATAAACACATGTATCTATACATATCTTTATATGCAACCTTATCAATATCACTGTTAACTGATTTGTTCCAAGTCTAATCTGTTACCACATGCTTCTATCCTTTCTTCTTCTCTGTAAATTTCCTAATAGGTTTATTTTACATAGTTGCTCAGTGACTCATGTAGAGTGATAATAGAGATGTTATCTGAGCCTATGTGAGAAGCAATGCACTTGCATGAGAAACAGCATTGCCTATAAGACTACAGTGCTTATGCCTAGCATCTTTGGCCTTTGGTCTGTGGAGTCTACTTTTATCCAAAGCTATTTATTGTCTTTTCTTGTTTTCTCTTCAGTAAGGTTGTTTCTTACATTGGCAATGAAGTCAGATTGTTTGGTGACATTTTGCCTTCGATTCTGGGATGCTATAGCTCCATAAATAGTGTTTTTAATTTGCATACATTAGGGATCACTTTCTGTGGATTTTGACAAATGCATAGTGATGCATATCTATCACTATAGCATCATATAATATAATTTCACTGCCCTGGAAATCCTTTACTCATCTATTCGACCTTTCCTCCTCTAATTTCCTGGAAATCACCAGTCTTTTATTGTCTCTCTAATATTTACCATCTGAGCATGCTATATAAAGGAATCATGGGGTATGTTACATTTCTAGACTCTCCTGCTTTACTTAGCAATATGCATTTAAGATTCATTCAGAATTTTCTGTGGCTTGATAATTCATTTATCAATCCATTCACTTATTGAAGGACACCTTGGTAATTTCCAGTTTGGGGAAATAAAAGTTTCTACAGAAGTTTCCATGTGGACATAGATTTTTTTTTCTAATCAGTCAAATGAACTCAGGAACGCAATTATTGCATCATATGGTAACACTAATCTAGGCTTCATGAGAAATTGCCAGACTATCTTGCAAAGAAGTTGTAATGTTTGGCACTGTGGAAACTCTTTTGCATGCATGCTGGTCCTTGTTGCTCTGCATCCTCATTAGCAATTGGTGTGCAGTAGAATATCTATTGTGTAAATTGTTAGTGACAAAAAAATGTTAAATCTGTATTCCTGGGGTGATCTGATCTTCTCAGGTGAGGAGTCTGTTCAGCTCTTTTGTCCATTTTTAAGTCAGGTTGTTTCCTTTGGTTGAGTTTTAAGAGTTCTTTCTAGGTTTTGAATACAGGACCTTTATAGGTATTTTGCAAGTGTATTCTCAAGAACTTACTTTAATGATAGCCGCTTTCCAAACTCAAGAGCTCACTTACATGGCTAAATGTGGTCAGTGATGCAACTCTGTCCGCCGCATTTGTTCTGCTGTCCCCAAATGTCCCACTGTGTCTTCTCCCTTCCTTAACCCCATCCATGTCGTCAAAGAGCCTTGATATGCCATGAGCACTGTCTTTCTGTAGGAAGTCCTCGCCTTTGTTCATTTTAAGACAACGATGAAGTTGATAATGTAGTTACTGATCTATTGGTGATGAGGGTCCCAATAAGGCTCCAACTCTATGTGCATATGCTGGCGTGGGGAAGGCCAGTCTGGAGGAAGTTGACTATGATATGTAGGTTGTACTGTGCCCTTGGTGAGTCTAATAATTGTCTGTCTTCCTTTCCATGGCTCCAGTCATCAAGCCTCCTTTGCGTCACTTTAAACGCCCAGCTTACGCCTCCAGCTCCTATGCACCTTCGGTTCCCAAGAAAGCTGATGACCACCCTGCAAGGTATAAGATGCTGGATCAGAGGATCAAAATGAAGAAGATTCAGAACATCTCACATCACTGGAACAGAAAATAGGGCCAGAGAGAGAAAAGAGGGTGTGAAGAGAGCCTACCTGTCAGAGCAGGACAGGCCTCGCAGATCCTTGGAGGGCTGGCATCATCTGGGAAGAGCTAGCGCCATCATGGTTGACGCAGGAAGGCAGCATCAGAGTATATGTGATTTAACCTTTGTCATTCTCCTGCAAGGCCCATCTGTGGCTGGATTCAAGGTCAATCCAGATTCCAAGAATAAACTATGTGGCTTTTATTGTATAAATCTTTCAAAGTTGGACCTATGTTACAATTGTATATCCTGTTCAGATAAAAGAGGAAAAGCTGCCATTTTTCATCCCTAAGTTTCAATTTGCCCCCAATAAGAATATACTCAGTATAGTAATTATCATATTTAAGAAGTAAACTTCTGAGAGTATCTTTTCATTTTAAATACTCTTATCTAAGATACAAGTAAATATGTAATTTTCATAGTAACTGCATTCAAAACAAAAGTTATATGTTTCTGAATGTAACAATTTTAGAAGGAAAACATGTCTGATAACTTATATTTGTAGACATTTCAGAATGTGGGTGTTACAAACTGGATCCAAATTAAAAGAAAGAAATCTCAAATAGAAAAGAAAAAAACCCTTTTTTGATCTCTAATCACATGTGCGAGGATTTGGGAGTTTTCAGGATATTTCTTCTACTCTTTCTCTTCCATCTCAGTAGAGAATGCTGGGGAACCATGGGATACTCAAGCCTTAACAGTCGAAGTTATTTAGACATAAAGTTATTTAGGGGGGTGGGTTCTGGAACAGGAAGGTGAACTTAATTGTAATTCCTTATTTACAGATGTTTCTCCATAAGACTGGAGATGTCTTTAAGTTAAATGTCAGGTCACCTTCTCAACAGAGCACGTGTCCAGAGCCCTGTGGTATTTTTTGCTCTCATGGCCATTGGTAGAACAGAAGACTTTACAGCTCACTTCTCTTTGGGGTGGCATTTTTTTTGCCTTTTTATATCTCTCATGAGAATTTTTATGTTGGTACTGAAATCAGAGAAATAGCAAGGGAAGGCTCATGATCAGAGATGCTTTTTTTATTCCTTCACAAATGAGGTTCTGGTTATCAGGGCCTGAGTTTTTGGGAACTTCTGTTTACATAAGTAGTCCATGGATTCGTGGTCCCTACTCTGTATCTTGTGATGAAGAAGAATAAGATTGTAGGTCAGGGCTGCTATTGCTGAGCATGGTGTCCACTAAGAGGCTGAGCTCTTCAGGAGAGTCTCACAAAGATCAGGCATCCTTCATGGTCACAGCCTCCTGACTCAGTTGTCAGGGGTTTAGAGACATCCATTCCCCTGTCCACAGTTCATGTCCAGTGGACCACAGTTACTCAGTTGAGCCTGCTCCAGAGTTTAGTGACCATACTGAGCCGCTTATGTGTACCGTGCTTTAAAAAAAGATGGTATTATAGGAAAATTTAATTTGCTTTCCAAACAGGAAGAAAAAAACACTCAAGACTTTGTGTTAAGGAAGAAAATTGTAACTCTTAGCTCCTGGCTTGGTATTTGAGCAAGATAATGCTTCTGCAAACTAGTAGCACTTCCTCCACCTTACTTAGGTTCACTCAGCAGGTGGTTCATACCTGTTTCTACACAGATGGTCTAGATGGTGGTACAGAGCCACGGGATACATAGTGATGCTTTCTCTGTCTCTCAAGTTCTCCAGCTTTAGGGCTCAGGCTTTGGTGTGGCTGTGATTTCTTGACTGTGCTTCTTGATGTTGGAAGCCATCTTTCCGAAGAAGAAACAACTTTAATTGCTTGTGTTATTTGCTAAGCTGTTATTTTTTTAGCCTCTACTAATATTTTAGTTGAGCAAATGTAATGATACTGAGATGTTGTAAAATGCCTCCCCTGTTTGTTTTTTTTTTTTTGCATGGTGGGTTGTATAGAAACGCAGATTCTATTCTTACATGAAATAAAAAGAAGCTTTTAAAGGACTTCCTTGTATGTGAGTCATGTCTAACTTCTCTGGAATTCTAAGTTTTGTTTTGTTTTGTTTTGTTTTTTGGGTCCGGTCATGGGGCCTGAACTCTGGGCCTGGG